CTAAGTCAATTATCAAGGTCACATCCTCTGAGACTAGAGCAGGACATATCTAGAGCAAAATGTTGCTATTTATACACCTACATGGGTAAAGGGCCTCTTTCTTTCTACATCCCAATTTTATGTTGGCTTGTTATAAAGAGATTTTCCTCTCTGAATATGTGCCCCTGAAGTTGGAGGCAAGATTTCCATGATCATGTTTTAGTGTTAATGTACAGTAATGCAAACTTCTCACAAAGGAGACCTGATGGAACTGGACCTTGCTGGTCAACTATAATTAGTTTGTTGTGAATTTCAACCATACAAAAGCCTCCAGTACAGCCATGGTTCATAGAATATTCTTTTCCTTATTATCATAGAAAGTCAGGGTTAGAAGGGACCTCAGGAGGTCACATCTAGTGCAACCCCCTGCTCAAAGCATGACCATCCCCAGGCATGATCATCCCAGCCAAGGCTTTGTCTAGTCGGGCCTTAAAAACCTCCCAGGATGGAGAGTCCATCACCTTTCTGGGTGACCTGTTCCAGTGTTTTACTACCCTCCTGATGAGAGAGTTCTTCCTAATATCTAACCTAAACTTCCTTTGCTGCAACTTGAAACCATAGCTCCTTGTTCTGTCATCTGCCACCACTGTGAAGTGTTTAGCTCCATTCTCCTTCCGGTAGCTGAAGTTTGCTATTAATCCCCCCTCAATCTTCTCTTCTCCAGGCTAAATAAGCCCAGTTCCCTTGGCCGCTCTTCAGAAGTCATGTGCCTCAGTTCCCTAATCATTTTTGTTGCTCTCCACTGGACTCTCTCCAATTTGTCTACATCCTTTCTGTAGTAGGGGACACAAAACTGGCAGCAGGACTCCAGTGCCAAATGGAATAGAGGGGAATAATCACTTCCCTTGATCTGCTGGTAATGTTCCTAATGCAACCCAAGATACCATTAGCCTTCTTTGCAACAAGACCACACTGTTGGCTCAGATTCAGCTTATTGTTGACTGTAACCCCAGGTCCTTTTCCGCAGAGTTGTTGCTCAGCCAGTCAGTGTCAAGCTGGTACTGGTGCATGGGATTGTTCTATCCTAAGTGCAGGACTTTGCATTTGTCCTTATCGAACCTCATTGAGATTTCTTTTGGTTCAATCCTCCAATTTGTTGAGGTCTCTCTGAATCCTAGCCCTACCCTCCAGCATATACACTACTCTCTTTCCCCCACCCCCCCAGCTTGGGGTCATCTGCAAACTTGCTGAGGATGCACTACATCCCATCTTCCAGGTTGTTGATGAAGACATTGAACAAAACCAGCCCCAGGACTGACCCCTGGGGCACGCCACTTGATACTGGCAGCCAGCTAGACATTGAGCCATGGATTACTACCTTGTGAGCCCGACGATTCAGCCAGTTTTCTATCCACCTTAGAGTCCATTTATCCAACCCATATTTCCTTAGCTTGCTTACAAGAGTGTTGTGGAAGACCATATCAAAAGCCTTGCTGAAGTCAAGTTATATCATGTTCACAGCTCTTCCTGCAGAGCCAGAGCCAGTCCTCTTATTGTAGAAGGTAATCAGATTGGTCAGGCATAATCTGCCTTTGGTGAACCCATGCTGACTGTTTCTAATCACCTTCTCCTTCAAGTGCTTATGAACAGACTCCTTGAGGACCTGCGTCATGATTTTTCCAGGGACTGAGGTGAGGCTGACCTGTCTGCAGTTCCCTGGATCCCCTTCCTTCCCTTAAAGATGGGCACTATGTTTGTCCTTTTCCAATTGTCCAGGACCTCTCCCACTTGCTATGAGTTTTCAGAAACGATGGCTAGAGGCTCTGCAATCACATCAGAAAGGATCTGATGTTTACCAGTTTAGTTTATTTGTGGACTTGGTTGCTGCTGCTGACTGTGGTTCTCAGGGATGGATCAAAATGATATGGAATATTCCTTTAAAATACCATTTAGTTAGAGTAATTTGTTTTGTGATGGTATGTGGTGCCTTCCATTTCAAAAGATCCAAATGTACTTCACTATCCAGACACAGCTGGAGCTGCCTCTGGATGAAATTCATTGCTTGTGCAACCGCAGCACTTAGAGCTAGTCAGAAAACTTGTGCCTTTATTAAGTTACTTAAAAAACAAATCCTGGAACTGTTTGTTTCAAAACAACTGGAGCTTGACAACCTTTTGCTAAACACAAGGCCTGGCTCTGAGGGAACCATTTTTGATTCTGAATCAGTCTGCTACAGGATCAGGGACTGAGCTATAACACCTCTGGGTTATGATCATGCTCAGTGGATCTGCCCTAGAATCAAGTAACCTGGGAACCCCCAGGCCCTGTTGTAGGGGCAGATTACGTGCATTTATGTGCTTTAGTTAGTGTGCATTAAATTTAGTACCTCCGTTGTGAAGTTCTAGAAAAATGTGCATTAGCTTATCATAACGCTCATTAACTAAAGAGCAGGGTTTTTAGTGACACTTTAATGCACATTAGCTTATTTTAATGTGCATTAACTAAAGAGCACATTTTTATAGTGATGCTTCAATGTGCATTAAAGTAGGCTATTGCACATGTGTAGGTATGCCCAGAGAGCTTTGAAGGTTACTAGGGGGGAATGTGGGAAAGAGGAGCTGCAACGGTGAGCCATTTTGCCCAGAGAAGGGAGGAGGCCTTGCTCCTTGATACGTTGCATGCACCATTGAAAGAGGCCCCAAGTAGATTGTGGAGGAGCCTGGTCTGAGTTCAGCTGGGAGAAGGATTGGCTTTCCCACTGAAGAGACCCCAGCAGAGAGAGAGACTGGCTGCCGCAACACAGCAGGGCCTGAGTGAGTTGCATTGAAAAGGCTGCAGAAGTGATGCAGTCAGTGTAATTGCCGAGCAGTGAAAGTCCTCATGCCATCAGGAACAGCTGGGGCTGTGCACAGGGTGAAGAGTCCTTGCCGAAGGGTCCTTGTGAGACTGGAGTTGGTGTTTTAAGTTGTACTTTTGAGAGGGGTCCTTTGGTGATCAGGTTTCCATGCTTTGCTGTGTGAATGCTTCTGTGCGTAAATAATATATCACACTTGTTTGTACCTACCCTCCCATTAAACTGAGAGACTTTTGGGGAAACAGTTGCCGCTGCCACACACCCACACCCCCTTGCAAGACGGGGCACAGATGTAGATTTCATAGACGTTAGGGCTGAAAGGGACCTCGGAAGATCATCAAGTCCAGCCCCCGCCCCAGGGACAGGGAGTCAGTGGGGGTCAAAGGATGCCAGCAAGATCAGCGTCCAAACCTTTCTTGAAAGAGTCCAGAGTAGGTGCTTGCACCACCTCTGGAGGGAGCCTATTCCAGGCCTTGGGGGATTGGACAGTAAAGAAGTTTTTCCTTATGTCCAGCCTAAAGTGGTCTTGGAGGAATTTGTGACCATTGGTCCTTGTTATACCTTGGGGTGCTCTGGTGAACAGGCTTTCCCCCAAATCCTGATGCACAACCCTCATGTGAGGGGTGGGCAAAATGCGGCCCGTGGGCCGGATGCAGCCCACCAGGCCATTCTGTCCAGCTCGTGGGGCCCCTAAAAAATTTAGAAAATTAATATTTATCTGCCCTGGGCTGCCTGTCACGCGGCCCTCGATGGCTTGCTAAAACTCAGTAAGTGGCCTTCCACCCAAAATAATTGCCTGCCCCTGCCTTATGTACTTATATAAGACTGATGTACACCCCTTACATATTTATGTAAGACTTATATAAAGCTGCAAACATGTAAAGCATCAAGACGATTTTCCGCGGGGGAGGCAGCCCCATGTTTCCAGCCAGCGCAATTAGGCCAGTCAAGCAAGGAGAAAAATCAATTGCAAAAATCTTCCTCGAGGTGAAACGGCAGGATGTCTTGAAACAGAAGTGGTATGGTGGGTAGGCTTTTGCATGCAGAGAGATGAGCTTGCATCTCCCTTTGTGGGGCGCTGCAAAAGGCGGTGCGGTGCACACGACAGGGGACGGGGAGGGAAGAGAAATGAGGGCAGAGAAGGGTGTAGGGCTGGGAGAGGTAAAAACAAAGCCCAGTGCAGGTAAAGGATAAGTGTGGCCTCTGCACCACAGAGCCCACCTCCCCCTCCAGCCCATGCAGCCAGCACCAGGCCCCTGTGCTATGGTCACGGGGAGTGGGAGGGGCTGAGGCTCTGGCCCCGCCCCCAGGCGCGGGATGACGCTCCTCTCCCCTCTGGCAGGGCAGGCCCCGCCCCCTCCGTGACGCCACGCGCGCCATGTTAGCTGTGGGCAGGGCGTGGCGCGTGCGCAGTCGGGCGGGCGG